AGTTTCAAGTTTTGGACGCTAAATACAAATGCTATTTAGCCAAATTATTTAAGTGTTATACTTGTTCTATTTTATGTGTTTGTAGAAGATGGTTATTATTAAACCATTTTTGTTTCTTACTCCTACATCGTTGGATGCATGATTTCTAAAATGGCTTAGACATATTAGTCTATTAAGGCTATTGCTTTGTTATTATCAAAATTGAAGTATAAGATGCATACTGTCTTCTTTGGTTCAACATTTGGGTTGAAGTGATTGATTTATTTTAGTAGGTTAGTCTTCTTAAGCCCAATCCAAAAATATTATCCTAAATATATTTATAAACATATTTGTTAATAATATTTTTGGTACCTATGAATTTATGAATCAACTAGTACGAGATTGTTTTAGCTTAACCAATAGTAGGCTTGAGTTCGAGGGCATAGTGGTCCTACCCAATTAGAAGAGAATTGCATCCAAAAAGATATGTATGGTCTATACAAAAAATATCATTGATGATAATAGGAACAATGATATTAATGGTAGTAACGATAGTTATAATAGTGATAATAACAACAATAACAAAATAATAGGTAAAAGATATTTAAAAGATTAAACTAATAAATAAAAAAATCATGATATATTTTGATAAATATTTTAATCGCGACTTTCATTTAATGTGATGATTAAAAGTAGTAATCTTATTCTTCCTCAAAAATGTTACTCTCAAAAGTATATGCCATATATATAAAGTTTCTTCTGCTGGTAGTTGTTAAACGTTATTTTCAATAACCTTAATCTTGTCCTCCAATAAATAAATAAATAATCTCAATACTAGTTTTATCCTTTTATTATTTTCTTCAAATGACTACTTGCATCACTCTTTCGAGAAACCTTAACCTAGTCATTATCACGCTAATTACATCTATTCCTAGTATCATCAAATAATATAATTCCAAATTATGTTATACATTGTCCTTTCTTTACATTGATTTGTCAACCAACTTTTTTGAAAGACCTTTCTTTCCAAATCTAAAATATGACATATTTAGTGGCATAAACAAACAGCATATCATATTTGCCTTTCCTTATTTATCTTGGTTTGTATTTTAGCACTGGAAAACGAGTTAACGAACCCAAAATATAATTGAACATGACTTTTGCCATCCCAATTTATGAAAACTGATTTAGAAAAGTTAGAAACAAAATAGGTACATTTCGCTTTAAATGTGCTGTTTACATCTTCCCTCTTTTCATGTCAAAAAATAAACCAAAAAAATTATTAATTGACTGAATTGACCCGAAACTTATCAAAACAAAGTGAAGCAAAAGGATCAAGTTAAATATCTTCAGCAATGGAAGTGCTAGCACTTGTACAAGTAAAAACTACATTAAAGATAATTCACTCGATATGTTTTTTTTATCACAATACACAAAAATTGTCATATAATAATAATATAATATTTTTCATTAAAAATTATTTTTATCTACACTATAAATACTATTGATATATTATCAAAAGGTATAGGTATAAAATATAATGACACAATGTATATTATTAAATCCTAATCAAAATCAATATTAAAACTGTGTGTAATTATATATTAAATAGATTTATATATATTTATATAGTTTGTATTTATAGAGACATTTTTTGTATACTACTATATATAACATTACTTGTTTGTACCTATATAAATATTAATCTTAATTTGTATTATTAAATTGTTAAAATTATATTTAAATACCCATTTAATTTTTATAATTTTGTCAAAATCACTTTTTTATTTTATAGTGAAGAAGTATTCTAGTCTTATATATATATATATATATATATATAT